CAGGGGTTCTAGTGCTAGGACGGGGCTATATAGATTATATAAAGTGAAAATGCATAAATTCTTTGAAATTCTTTTTCTCTGCTCATGGGCATTAAATAAACTAACCAAATGCATAGTTATGTTGAATAAGGTTGCTTCTTTCAAAATTATGAATCTCATGGCCCCAAGATCAGGGGTTCTAGTGCTAGGGCGGGGCTATATAGATTATATGTATATAGTGAAAATGCATAAATTGTTTGAAATTCTTTTTCTATGCTCATGGGCATTAAATAAACTAACTAAGTGCATAGTTATGTTGAATAAGGCTGCCTCTTCCAAAATTGTGAATTTCATGGCCCCAGGGTCAGGGGTTCTAGTGCTAGGGAGGGGCTATAAAGGTTATATAGTGAAAATGAATTATTTCTTTGAAAATCTTTTCTGCGCCTGGGTATTAAACCAATGAACTATGTACATAGTTCTGGGGAGGAAGGATGACTCTTTGAGATTTGTGAATTTCAGGGCCCCTGAGTCAGGGCTTCTTGTGTTAGGATGGGGCTCTAAGGTTTATATACTGAAAATGCATGAATTCTTGGAAAATCTTTTTCTTTGCTCCTGGGTATTATGCCAATGATCTAAGTACATATTTATGTTGAAGAAAATTGCCTTTTCCAAAATGGTTAATTTCCGGGCCCCTGGGTCAGAGGTATTTGGAAGGCGGTGGGTGGGGGGTACAATTTATTGCTTTGAAATTTGGTAATTTGTGATGAAATAAAATCATGATAAGGTTTCCAAAATTTTGAAATATGTAGCGCCAAGGTCTGTGGTTCCTGTAGGATGGGTTGCACAATTGGTTACAAAGTGGAAATGCATTTTCTCTTTGTTACTCTGATCTACCTCTGGGTATTTATGAACCAGAGTAACCATTCTTAATGTATAATTATGATAAGCAATGGTGCCTCTTTCAAAATTATGAATTTCATAGCCTCTGGTTTAAAACATGAATCAAATCCAATTGTTGGAAAGTTATTATGAATACTCAGGTGACCTATAAGGCCCGTGGGCCTTTTGTTACTGTAACAAATGATTTATTGATGGATGATTTATATAACAATAATTTCATCCAACATAGTACAAAACTGAAAGGTTTTTATTCCACAAAAGCTTTTGTTTTTCTTGAAATTTTAGAAAAGAATAAAATGGTATATTTGTGTTTATTTTTTAGGCTCTTGTCATACACCAGAAATAGTTTATGCAATAATAAAGTCACTTCATCTGTCTGTTAGATTTTTAAAAAATCAAAATGCTGCACCTCCTACTGTTTGAATCAGACTCAAATATTACTTTGTAGATATAAGTTTAGATTTTACTTTTTTAAACTGTTAACATTTGATAAATAATTTTCTTTACAGATGTAATTGTATGGTAAATGTGGCTTTTCTAAAAGAAAATCATTGTGAAATTCTTTGAAATTGGGTTTTCCTTTTAATTAAGCTTATCAGTACTGATAGTTTTAGACTTGCATGTAATACAGTATAACATGGTACACAAGTATACTACATGTATAGTATATTTATGCCCCCCTTCGAAGAAGGGAGGGCATATTGCTTTGCTGCTGTCCGTCGGTCGGTCTGTCGGTCGGTCGGTCTGTCGGTCCATTTAGTTTCCGTTCATTTTCTTTACAACCGCTGCATATACTGAAATGAAATTTGGTATACAGGTTTATCAGGTAAATATCTAGGTCAAGTTCTGTTTTGGGTATGATCACACCATTTTTGACAGAGTTATGCCCCTTGGACTTAGAAAAATTCCATTTATTTGCAGTTTCCGTTCATTTTCTTTGCAGAGGTTGCACATATTGAAATGAAATTTAGTATACAGATGTTTCAGCTGAATATCTAGGTCGAGTTCTGTTTTGGGTTTGATCGCACCTTTTTTGATAGAGTTATGCCCCTTGGACTTATAAAAATTCCACTTATTTGCCGTTTCCATTCATTTTCTTTGCAGAGGTTGCACATATTCAAATGAAATTTAGTATACGGATGTTTCAGCTGAATATCTAGGACAAGTTCTGTTTTGGGTTCGATCACAACCTTATTGTCAGAGTTATGCCCCTTTGACTTAGAAAAATTCCAATTATTTGCAGTTTCCGTTCATTTTCTTTGCAGAGGTTGCACATAATGAAATAAAATTTAGTATACAGATTTTTCAGCTGAATATCTAAGTCAAGTTTTGTTTTGGGTACGATTGCACCATTTTAGACAGAGTTATGCACTTTTGGACTTAGGAAAAATCCAATTTGGGGGGAGGGGGGCATAAGTGTTTTACAAACATCTCTTGTCAATATATATTTGATTTCGATGAAGATGTTCTCATGGTAACATACAAAAAATTAAAAAAAAAAAATTCTGTGAAAATCACTAAAAACACAACACCTACAGATTTCATTAAAATTAAGTTCAATAAAACATGGCAAAACAAGCAGTGTACACTGAGGGTTCTGATCATAATACAGTAATGCATTGTGTATTGATTTTTAAGTTAACATTTACTGAAGGTTTAGATGAACTTGTCTGAGGGAAAATTGTCTGGCATTTGTCTGTCTGTCTTTCCTAGGCTTTCCTGACAACTTCTCCTGAACAACTAATGCCAAGTCAACCATGCTTTTCACAAAAAAAAAAACCATCCTTGGGTAAATGGGGATTCAGTTTTGTTTAAATGAAGTCATTTATGGGAGAATATAATCCAGACTGCTGGGTCAGAAGAAACTAACACAGAAGCTCCCTATTGTAGTGCTGTTTCAAGTTTGTATAAATCATGAGATTCAATTTGTTTTAATTTCAGTGTCATTATATTGAATGCTGGGTGGGGTCCATAAGGAGATGAGCTTGCAAATATGTGACAGAAATTACTGTAAACCAACTTTAAGGACAGATGATACAAACAAACTTTTGTCAAAAGATATGAAATTAACAACCTGAGTGATGTTTTATGAGTAGTATGAATAACTTTCACCACGTAGTTTTTAATGATTGTTTTACTAAAAAAAAATTTTAAAAATGAGGTTTGAAGTGAAACATATTTGTATAGATTAATAAGGATGGCTTCAGAGAGGCAGATTTTTGAACATCACATAAGGTTCACAAATTCTTTATATTCTAGAAATTTATTATTTGCATCATTTTCAATGAAATTAGGCCAAAAAATATAAACCAATCCAGGCATCCATTTTTTGTTTGTATCATCTGCCCTTAATTCGCGATGACTTTATTTCATGATTTACCAGGGGTAAATTACTTCATGACAATTAATTTTTAGCCGGGCATATTGCTCAAAGAGCAATTGCCGGCTTATGTCATCCTGTTCAAGACAGGATGTCAACCCCATAGTCGCCATTTTAAAGTTACGTGTAACAATATAGTTCTTACTCTCAACCTCTTCTGAGATAATACAAACGCTAAATAAAGCAACATAAATAAAACGAAGTTTTATCTAAATAAATAAACATTAGTAGTAATGACTTTGAAAACTTCAGTCTTAAGTCAAAGAACATAGTTTATTAGCGTAAGGATTTCTGATAATCAGTGTTATCGTAGTTCTCTACACTAACGAGGAAAAACAGCTAGGAGAGGGAACCAGACTGGCCTGTTTGTTTACATTCAGCCGTAGTACCAGATTAATTTTGATTCTGACAAAATCGGACCGTGGTATTAGGATCGAAAAACTCACTGTCAGTGTCTTATAATTTATATTGCTAGTTTTAAAATAATTTTTTCATCAGAATTTTTAATCTGATATTCTTGCTATTTATCTGTCAATACAATATAAACGTATGATTCGTGTAAGAAATTCATTTTACTCTGTAAATGAGCCTGGCTCTTACTTCTGAGTACTTTGATCACTATTTAGCTTTTTAAAAAATCTTTAGTTTATAGACACAAAGACTTTAAGGACTGGTTCGCATTGGGAAATATTCGGGATTATGAGGCGGACCCGATCTTCACAAAAATTTCTTGCCCGCAAATAAAAGTTGGTTTACAGTATTAAATTTTACTCAAGAACAGCAGGACCTGTTTATGATAGTCATATTGATTATAAATATTTCAGGCCAATACAATTTTTAACCTTCTTTTGAAGAGTTCCAATTCAAACATTTTTTTTTTTTTACATTTTTTGACAAATTTAAAGACTTTTTACAGTGGTTAGGAAAAACTATAGAATGATTGAATCCAGTTTTCTTCTTAACTAAGTATTACGTAAAAAAAATTGTACTAGAGAGAGATTTTTTTTCAAAATCTCCAAAACAGCCAGATCAATGTCACTGGGGGTGAGCATTGTGGTCCATGGGCCTTATTTCCAAGAACAGTGTTGTCATAGCTACCCCAGGTAGAAATCACAGTGAAATGCCTTTAAAGGTCACTTCCGTTTCATTGGTGATATTTTAATAAAATTTGCAATAACAAGAGAACTATTTATTTGGGTTGTCTTAGATTTAAGTCAATAATAAAGGTTGTTGATTTTCTTAAGACCCCACTGGAAATAAATTTGTTTTGTAATAGCTGTAATGGAGCATCCTCAGGTAAATGGTTTTGCAAGAAGTATATGCATACATATGTACATTAAATACATTTCATATTAATTTCTTTTGTTTTATAATTGAGATATATATTGTTTTTAAAAAAGTGGAAATTTTACAATTTCTGAGAATGCTTGATCTCATGTGTTAATGGTGCCATATTTCCTGAATAACAAACAAAAAACAAATAAGTACAGAGCAGTACAGTAAAACTTGGTTATAATGAAGTCACTGGGACCTATGAAATTACTTCACTATAGCCATAATTCATTATACCCGTACAAGGAATTTGTTAACTTCATATAGCTGGGGATCCAAGATAATTTCGCTATATCTGTGAATTCGCAATATCTGTGTTCATACTAAATGAGTTTAACTGTATAGCCATACTCTTTTTGGAGACTTTGGTTAGAATTCTTTAATTAATTAAATGTTATGATATTTACAGAGACCCCTCCCCCGGGCTACATCAGTGAGGATGGTGACACCACGGACAACCAAGGCATGGGTAAGGACACAAGGCCATTCCAAAACGGCTTCATTTCAAACCATACGTTAAACAAAAAAAAAAAGAATTCTGCTAGATTTTATACTCACATGTCTTGAAAAAAAATTGTACCATTTTATGCATAGTGCCTGTTTTCATAGTTTTAGAGGGCAAAAGTTGAAATTGACACCACAAGAAAAACCATTGTCAACCAATGTGACAGCAAGGTCAATGTGACAGTGAGGGGTGTCAATTTTTTTCAACGGTTTCTCTCCAAAACGAGCCAAATTTTTTTTTTATTACAATGATTGTTTCATTAAATTAGGATGTCGACAAAATTTTTTAATATTATGGACACACTGTTAGGACAGGAGTAAAGTTGAAATTCAGTATAATTCACATAAGTATGGGGAAATGGAAATCTTTCAAAAATTTATTTTCCTGTAAAGCAAGATGAGTTTATTTATGATCATGATGATAATATTGGGTCATTATTGTTTAAGTTCAGTTAAAAAAAATCGGGGGGAGAAAAATCTTTTGAGAATCTAGAGAAAACTTAAGCCAGTTAAGCATTGTGACCAAATAAACTTTTTTTTCTCATAGTTTGCAGTTTTCCTGAGATGGGCATATATGTGTAGATCTAGTTTTTTTACATAACTTTTTTTTACTTATGAAACATTGACATTCAGTGGGTGAATATTCCAACAAGTCATCATTCTGCATTATATTGCTTACCTTTCACATCCTGTGAATTCAGTTGAATCATTTAACGTTGTTCAAATAACAAACCACATTTCAATTATCCAATCAAACTGGATTTATAAAACGTGAGAATGTTGCTCTTTGTGCGGTTATATATTGATGATTTACAATATCATCACACTTTATTGATAGAAAATGTCTTTTTTAGATGGAGTAGATGTCCATTCCCCGAGCCCCCCAATTGGTAAGTACATGCATCTATGGATACTGGGTTTTATTTTTTTATGTTCTAAGATGGTGATTTTATAAGATGAAAATTATTTAGGTCCGCAAAATCCTATTTTGAGAATAATATTTTTTTTTAATATGAGCCATTCTCCATATAAATAAAAAAAATCACAAAATTTGTGAAGAAAAAATTATTTTGGACCAAAAAACAAAGAAAGTAAATTTGTGATTATTCCCACAGGATTGCAACACGAAACTTATTAGAGCGAGTTTTAAATTCTTAATTTCTTTTTTTTTTGTAATTCAATAAAAAGACAATGAAAGGTCAGGTTAACCGTGTTGAAAAAAATTTAAAAATGTTAAAGGTCTGTAGGCCTTAGCTAACCCCCTGTACGTTATTGATAATTAGCCCAATATACTAATTTCGATACTATTCTGTATATTTTATAAACCACATTTAACAAATGCTGAATAAAAATATAAAGAAAAATTCTTTAAAAAGAATTCCTGTATTTTTAAAAAAAAAAAAAACATTTAATTAAATCTGTACTTTTAGTGAAAGCCATTATTGCAGAAAAAATATATTTTTATCGATGAACGGCAATTTGGACTTTGATACTAAGTCTCTGGAAAGTTGTTTTCCCTGCTTATTTTGTTCAAATGATAAGATCTGAAACAAAAGTTAATTGCAAATGGCAAATTTTAGGGGATATGTCTTTATACATGCCATGCTTTCAATAAGAGCCTTTCAAAGACAATTCATGTCCAACTTACCCTTCATTGATAAACATGCATTTATTATTTCTGAGATGATGGTTTTTACTAATAATACAGAATTAAGCAGGTGCATTTTTAAAATATGCAAAATTTTTGATAAATTTTTTCTCTATAAATATTTTTCTTTTAAATATTTGTTTTCAAATGATACTTTTTTATATGCTAAACAATGATATATTAATAAAACTTAGAAGTTTTAACTTTATACCTCACATTAATTCAGAGCTATTGTAAAAATAAATTTTTGGATATGTTGACCTTTTATGAAACCTTAACTTTTTTTAGAATATAGGCCATAACTCAAGAACCCCTTGGCCAATCATAGCCAGATTTGGCACGGGATATATTTGGCTCAAGTGCTCCTGGTTAAGTAATAAAACTAGGGTTGTGAACTTTAAACAAGGGGCAATAATTTGGAAAATAGAAACACATGTACTGGTTGCTAATAAAAACATTTTTGCCCTGAATAACTGGGCAGAGTGTCACCAAACTTACATACAAGGGTGAGGATATATTGAAGATTTTAAATTGTTCAAGGCATCAACCTGGGGTCACAATGACCTACTTTTTAAATTTTGCAGATTTTCAAATTGATAAAATGGTATAATTTGAATAATTTCAGACCTATGATCATCAAATTTTAGGTTTTCAAAGAAAGTTGACCAAAAGGTAGGTCACTGCGACCTACTGTTGACATTTTATGGCTACATTTAGGTATCTCAGGTATTTATTGGCTTAGAATCATCAAGCTTTGTCACTTGATGCATCTTGGGTTTTCAAAGAACATGATCAACCAAAAAGTAGACTTTTTTTTAATATATTCTGGTGCCTCAGATACTTATTGGCTTAGAATCATCAAACTTTGTCAGTTGACGCATCTTGGGTTTTAGAGAATAGTGACCAAAAAGTATATCACAGTGACCTACTTTTGACATTTTATGGTTATATGTAAGTATCTCAGGTACTTATTGGCTTGGAATCATTAAACTTTGCAGAAGATGCATATTGGGTTTTCGGAGAATGTTGACCAAAAAAGAGGTAACAATGACCTTAACTTTTGAATTTAATGGCAATATGAAATTATTTCCAGGTCCCCATTGGCTAAATGGAATCTACAATCTTTGTCAATTGATGTATTTTAGGTCCTTTGAGAATGTCAGACAAAAAAGTAGGTCACAATGACCTACTCATGGTATTTTTAGCTATATTTAAATCTTCAGTTGTAACTAGCTAAGAATTGTCAAACTTTGTCAATTGATGCATCTTGGGTCTTCAGAGAAGGTCAACTGAAATTTAGGTCACGGTGACTTACTTTTGAAATTTTAAAATGTTTCAGGTACTGTTAAGCTAAGAAACTCTGTTCAGTTGATGCATCTTGGGTCCTCAGAATGTGTTCAATAAAAAGATGGTCCTGGTGACCTACTTTTTGGAATCTCTAGGCATTGTCTGAATATTTCAAATACTAAGAATATTCAGATAATCAAACTTTGTCATGACCGAAAGACTGACCGACAGACAGCAGCAAAGCAGTATGCCCTCCCTTCTTCGAAGGGGGGCATAAAAATCAAGTTTCCCTTTTGCACTATATGATGTTGATGCAATCAAATCAGGTTATCTCAAACTGGATGGAATCAAAAAATTACATTGAGACATCCTAGATTCTGAGGGTAAAATACTGAAGGAATAAAATTTTGGGGTCAGTGGATTTTTTTTATCTTGTTTGGGGTGGGGTTTATTGCTACCACTAACCCATGGACTGGTACTTGATTTTTAGCTCTTCTGAGCCAAAGGCTCAAAGAGCTAATGCTATGGCCATTTGTGCGGTGTGCGTAAACTTTTTAGATTATGGGCCATAACTCAAAAACCCCTTGGTCAATCATTGTCAAATTTGTCACAGGGTATCCCTGGCCCAAGGGCTACCATTTATACTAAAACTAGGGTTGGGACCCCTTAACAAGGGGAGATAATCAGGAAAATAAAACCAAAAGTACTAGTTGCTAAGAAATCTTTTTCTCCATAACCACTGGGCAGATTTTCACCAAACTTACATATAAGGATCAGGATATGTTGAAGATTAAAATTTGCCTGGGGAATTACACTGGAGCAAAGAATGTGGTCTCAAAGTAACCTCAAAGTTGACCAAAATTTACACTTAATAAAAACATTTATATTTTGCTTACTATAAAGACTAGGATCATCAAATCTTGTAAGTTGATGCATCTTTGGACTTCACATCATGTTAACTGAAAAGTAGGTCATGGTGACCTACTTTTTTGATTTTGCGGGCATTTGTTTTCAAATTAGTTTTGAGGCATATTTTGGAAACATTCAGGCCTATGATCATGAAACTTTGTCAGTTGATGCATCTTGGGACCTCAAACAGCATCAATATAAAAGTAGGTCATCATGACCTACTTTTTGAATTTTATGGCTAATCTTTTCTAAATCATTTAATCCTATTATTTCAGACTCTGAGAGGTTTAGAATCATCAAATCTTGTAAGTTCATGCATCTTGGGGCCTTAAAACATATTTATAAAAAAAATAGGTCACTGTGACCTACTTTTTCAACTTTGCAGGCATTTGTTTTCAAATTTTTTAAAAGGCATATTTTGAATACTATTAGACCTATGATCATCCAATTTTTAGCTCTTCTGAGCCAAAGGCTCAAAGAGCTAATGCTATGGCCATTTGTGCGGTGTGCGGTGTGCGTTAACTTTTTAGATTATGGGCCATAACTCAAAAATCCCTTGGTCAATCATTGTCAAATTTGTCACAGGGTATCCTTGGCCCAAGGGCTACCATTTATACTAAAATAAGGGTTGGGACCCTAAAACAGGGGGAGATAATCATGAAAACAATACCAAAAGTACTGGTTGCTAAAAAATCTTCTTCTCCATAACCACCAGGCAGATTTTCACCAAACTTACATACAAGGATCAGGATATGTTGAAGATTAAAAATTGTTCAAGGCATGACCCTGGGGCAAAGGGCGTGGTCTCAAGGTCACTTCAAAGTTGACCTAAATTTACAATTAATAAAAATGTTTATATTTTGCTTACTATAAGGACTAGGATCATCAAATCTTGTAAGTTGATGCATCTTAGGACTTCACATCATGTTAACTCAAAAGTAGGTCACGGTGACTTACTTTTTTAATTTTTCGGGCATTTGTTTTCAAATTGATTTGAAGGCATATTTTGGACACTTTAAGGCCTATGATCATCAAACTTTGTCAGTTGATGCATCTTGGGTCCTTGAACAACGTCAACTTAAAAGTAGGTCACTGTGACCTACTTTTTGAACTTTATGACTTATCCTTTTTAAAACATTTAATCCCATTATTTCAGACACTGAGAGGGTTAGAATCACCAAATCTTGTAAATTGCTGCATCTTGGGACCTTAAATCATATTTATGAAAAAGTAGGTCACTGTGACCTACTTTTAGAATTTTGCAGGCATTTGTTTTCAAATTGTTTAAAAGGCATATTATGATTACCTTCAAACCTATGATCATCAAACTTGGTCAGCAGATGCATCTTGGGACTCTGAAAAATGTCGACCAAAATGTAGGTCACGATGACCTACTTTCGACATTTTATGGCTATATTTAAGTGGTATTTATTGGCTTAGAATCATCAAACTTTGTGAGTTGATGCATCTTGGGTTTTCGGAGAGTGACGACCAAAAATTAGGTCACGGTGACCTACTTTTGACATTTTATGGCTATATTTAAGTATCTCTGGTACTTATTGGCTTAGAATCATCAAACTTTGTTAGTTGATGCCTCTTGGGTTTTCGGAGAATGTCGACCAAAAAGTAGGTCACAGTGACCTACTTTTGACATTTTATGGTTTTTTTAAGTATATCTGGTATTTATTGGTTTAGAATCATCAAACTTTGTTAGTTGATGCCTATTGGGTTTTCAGAGAATGTCGACTAAAAAGTAGGTCACAGTGACCTTCTTTAGAATATCTCAGGTATTTATTGGCCTAGAATTATCAAACTTGGTCAGCAGATGCATCTTGGGACTCTGAAAAATGTCAACTAAAATGTAGGTCATGATGACCTAAGTATCTTAGGTATTTATTGGCCTAGAATAATCAAACTTTGTCAGTTGATGCATTTTGGGTTTTCCAAGAATGTAGACCAAAAAGTAGGTCATGGTGACTTACTTTTGAATATCTCAAATACTTATTGGCTTAGAATCTTCAATCTTAGTTTGTCTATTAATGCATCTTGAGTCCTCAGAAAACTTCAATCTTAAAGTAGGTCACTGTGACCTACTCATGGTTTTTTATAGCTTTATTAAAATATCATCAGTCCTAATTGGCTAAGAATCATCAAACTTTGTCAGTTGATGCAACTTGGGTCTTAGGATACTTAGGGTTAGAGGCTTCAAATACAAGTGTTAGGTTGTACAATTTATCAGAAGAGTGATTCAAGGCCCTTGGGCCTCTTGTATTGATGCATCTTGGGTCTTCAGAAAATGTCAACCAAAGAGTAGGTCACCGTGACCTATTTTTTACATTTTATGGCTATATGTCGGTATCTGAGGTACTTTTTTGGCTTAGATTTATCAAACTTTGTCAGTCGATGCGTTTTGGGTATTCAGAGATTGACGACCAAAAAGTAGGTCACGGTGACCTACTTTTGACATTTTATGGCTACATTTAAGTGTTCTCAGGTATTTATTGGCTAAGAATCATCAAACTTTTTCATTTGATGCACCTAGGGTTTTCGGATCATGTCGACCAAAAAGTTGGTCACGGTGACCTACTTTTGAATATCTCAGGTACTGATTGGCTTAGAATCATCAAACTTTGTCAGTAGATGCATCTTGGGTTTTTGGAGATTGAGGACCAAAAAGTAGGTCACCGTGACCTTCTTTTGACATTTTATGGCTATATTTAGATATCTTGGGTACTTATTGGCTTAGAATCATCAAACTTTGTCAATTGAAGCATTTTGGGTTTTCGGAGAATAATGATCGAAAAGTAGGTCGGGGTGATCTACTTGTGACATTTTATGGCTATCATACATATATCACATGGATTCGAGGGTGACATACCAGAATATTTGCCCAGAGGAGACAGGAAAGCCCTGAGGTGTTATGTCACCCGATGCCGAAGGCAGAGGGTGACATAACACTTTAGGGCTTTCCTGTCACTGAGGGGCAAATATTCTGGTATTGTCTCCTGAGAAGCCATATGGTATATGTTATATGACATTTTTAAAATTTAAAAAAATTTAATCAATAATTTAAAATCATTGAAACTTTCACAAGTAATCCAAAAATGCTTTCTTGACGTTAAGAATAACGCTCCGTTGTTTACATTTGCTTAGCAACGGACGTCATAAAATCTGGAACCCAAGCTAAAATGCGTAACGTAAAAACACGTGAACGTGATCGAGAGGGTGACAAAACTGCTTCCGTCGGGGGGACATAACTGTTTCCGGCGTGTGACATAACTGTTTCTGGTGTAATTCAACAATTTTCAGGGTTTATAGCGAAACTTATTACCGGGGGGTACATTTGTGACATAATAGGAAAACTTATCTAAAAATGTTATATACTTAAGTATTCTCAGGTACTTATTTGCTTAGAATTGTCAAATTTTGTCAGTTGATGCACCTTGGGTTTTCGGAGAATGTTGACCAATGAGTAGGTCACTGAGACCTACTATAATGTCACCCTTTCGATCATGTTTACGTGTTTTTACGTTACACATTTTAGTATGTAGTACATTATGTTATACAACATTTTTGAATTTAAAAAATTGTCTAAAATAATTAAAGTTTAGACAAATAATCCAAAAATTCTTCCAAGAAAATAAAAATTATGTTCCTTTGTTTACATTTCCTTAGCAACCGACGTCATAAAATCTCAAACCCGAGCTAAAATGTGTAACGGAAAAACTTGTGAATATGATCGAGATGGTGACATAACTGCTTCCATCAGGGGACATAACTGTTCTGGCGTTTGACATAACTGCTTCCAGTGTTATTCAGCATTTTTCAGGATTTATAGTGAAACTATTACATTGAATGTGACATAATAGGAGAACTTATCTAAAAATATTATATCACAGAGTAAGCACTGCCAAAGAAATGTTTGTATTGTTTTATGGACTTTGAGATTGAATACTGTTCATTATCTCAATATCCTTCTTTGCTCTGAAACTGAAAATCTTCAACAGAATAATTAGTGAAATCATTAATACCTCAAAATGAAACAAGGTGACTTAAGGTGTATTTCATTCAACGTAATAATTAAAATGTCTGTAATCTGGACTTTTTCAGATGCTGAGCCAGTTTCCTATATCGATCCTCCATACTGGTGCTCCATTGCATACTATGAATTGAATAATCGCGTGGGGGAGACTTTTCACGCCTCTCAGCCCTCGCTAACTGTGGATGGATTTACTGATCCCTCCAACTCGGAACGCTTCTGTCTGGGCCTACTGTCCAACATCAACAGAACTCAGCAAGTGGAGATGACACGCCGCCACATAGGTTAGTATCCGTAGAACTCAGCAAGTGGAGATGACACACCGCCACATAGGTTAGTATCAGTAGAACTCAGCAAGTGGAGATGACACACCGCCACATAGGTTAGTATCAGTAGAACTCAAAAGATAGAGATGACACACTGCCACATAGGTTAGTATCAGTTGAACTCAATAGATAGAGATGACACACCGCCACATTGGTTAGTATCAGTTGAACTCAATAGATAGAGATGACACACCGCCACATTGGTTAGTATCAGTAGAACTCAAAAGATAGAGATGACACACTGCCACATTGGTTAGTATCAGTAGAACTCAAAAGATAGAGATGACACACCGCCACATTGGTTAGTATCAGTAGAACTCAAAAGATAGAGATGACACACTGCCACATTGGTTAGTATCAGTAGAACTCTTTAGAGATGACATGCCACCACATAGGTGAGTATCAGTAGAACTATATAGAGATGACACACCACCACATGGATTAGTATCAGTAGAACTCTATAGAGATGACACACCGCCACATAGGTGAGTATCAGTAGAACTCAGGAGATAGAGAAGACACGCCACCACATTGGTAAGTATCCACAGAAATCAGCAGATAGAGAGATGATATGCGGCCACATTGGTTAGTATCAAAAGAACTGAGCAGGTGGAGATGACACATTACCATTGTTTATGCTGTGGTGGTGTACTTCAGTCTTTTATGTGATTTATGCTGTGGTGTTGTACATATCATATATACTCGCCTATAAGTTGGTCTGCCTATAAGTCGGTTGTATTTAATAAGCTTATACATCAGAGGGACTGACCTTATAAAAAAAATTCTTTTTTTAACTTGCCTATAAGTCAGGCAAAGAGTTTTGGACCAGAGATTAACTCCCCAAAAACAGACATATAGGTGAGTATATACGGTAAGTCTTATATGTGATTTATGCTATGGTGGTGTAATTACATGATTTATGCTGTGATGGGGTACTTTGGTCTTTCACCAGATGTACCCTTTTGAAGAAACATACAATTAGAATTGTTGTTAACAATTGATCAATGCACGATCACAGTGTCCAGGATTTCCCTAAGGGTATTAACCGATATTTTTTTGAAAGAAAAACACAGTATTTATGAGATGAAATTAAATACATTGAAGAGACTGACACCTATAAAAAAACCAGTAAAAAACAACTCGTTTTCAGCATAGCAAAGAATCCATTATCATGATTATCAGCTTAGCAAACCAATTAATTCAAAATAAGCATTAACATAAACAATTTCAATTTAACTGATTTGTATTTTATTGCCAAGATCATAAGAAAAAAAAAGAAAAAGACGGATTTCTATTTAATTTCAAAATATTATGCAACATTTCAAAACAGCACCTTCTTGTAAGAGAGCATAAAGATGCTTATAAGAATTTTAACTTTCTATTTTTAACTCTTTATGCATTGCAATACAACTTTAAAAACAGTTGAGAAATTATTCCATGCTCATAATTTTTTTTAAATCACAGCCATGTAATGCAGATTGTAAAAGTTTGTACTACATTGGTTGTCTATTAATAGGTAAAGGTGTGCGTTTGTACTACATTGGTTGTCTATTTATAGGTAAAGGTGTGCCTTTGTACTTTACTGGTTGTCTATTTGTAGACAAACGGGTGCCTTTGTACTACATTGGTTGTCTATTTATAAGTAAACATTGGTTGTCTATCTACGGGTAAAGGTGTGCCTTTGTACTTTATTGGTTGTCTATTTGTAGACAAATGGGTGCCTTTGTACTACATTGGTTGTCTATTTATAGGGAAACATTGGTTGTCTATTTACAGGTAAAGGTGTGCGTCTGTACTACATTGGAGGCGAGGTTTTTGCGGAATGCCTCAGTGAGAGCGCGGTGTTTGTACAGAGCCCGAACTGTAATCAGCGTTACGGATGGCACCCGGCAACAGTCTGCAAAATACCTCCAGGTAAGTCCAACATACATAACAGTCGCCTGCAGGGTGCAGTGGTTAGAGTGTTTTCTAGATTTCTCTAGATTTACTGAGTAAGGAGTTATCCCTACATAGCTGATTTGAATCCCACAATGGGACATCAAGACAGATCCTTCAGACGAAACTGTAAAAACCAATATCACGTGTCTCAGGATTCAGGACACCAGATCCATTCCTAAAAAAAAAAATGGTTATAAATCACGTTTTTGTTCTATCAATCCAAATGGAGTCTCTCAAGTTAAAAAATACTGAGAAAGAAATATATCCAGTCTGAACATTTGTTGTTTTATAATTCTGTGGATCCTTTTTCAAAAACAGAAAAATGATTGGAACCCTCAAATTAATTGTCCTTTTACTGAATTGATTTATTTTTTTAGGCTACATAAGACCACACATCGATATGGTCTATATATTAAGTATTAGGTTCTACAGTGAAATATTTATTTCAACTGTACAGGTCTTACACATGTTTCTTATTGAATAACTTTATCACAATACTGTGATTTATTAGAGAATTCTGTCCATGGCTTTGACCTCAGCAATAACTGCAGTAGACTTTTGGTCATTTGTAAATGCTCTCTATTGTAGGTTGTAATCTGAAGATTTTTAATAACCAGGAGTTTGCTGCGTTGCTTGCCCAGTCCGTCAATCAGGGCTTTGAGTCTGTGTACCAGCTGACCAGGATGTGCACCATTCGTATGAGTTTTGTCAAGGGTTGGGGAGCGGAGTATAGGTAGGACCACGGGATCACCTGTTTGTCTCATTGTACAGTAAATCTGTACAGTTATAGCAAAGTCACTGGGACCTAGGAAATTACTTTGCTATATCTGTATAAGGAATTTCAGGGGTGTGCAATTACAAAAATAAATTACTAGCCCATGAGGCTAGTGACGGTAACAAAGTTACTAGCCCGAGGTTGCCAGTCACTAGCCCATTTACTACCCAAAACAATACATGTCATGTATAAGTATAACATAAAGTTTTAAAAAAAAATTTTAATTGAAATAAATAAAACAAATAATGGTTTGCGCTTTGTAATTGTCAGGTTCCCCCTATTTATATCGACTATAACTGTCACTGAGACGACTGGCGACAGGAACACACAATGCATATATGTTAAAACGAATTAAAGATTATGATTTTACAGAAAAGTTCATTCGAACCTCAATTCAGTCGAGGTAAATATATGTTTACTTTCGTTTTAGATTTACTAGCCCGATGAGCTAACGCAGTATAGATTTAAGATAGCCCGACCTCTAAAACTGGTAGCCCCGGGCGTCGGGCGATGGTAATTGCACACCCCTGAATTTGTTAAATTTACAGCAGTCTTGTCCAAAGTCATCATTTCATAAGTTCTATGGTCGATACAATGACCTTGTCAGCAAATACAATTTATCATTGAATCAAATGCTGACTGACGTTTTTCATACCAATTGTTAGTCCATTATTTATACACTGAATTGACGACGGATTTTTTCCATTATTTCCTGATCATGACAAGGTGCACATGGCGGGTGTGACCGGTCGGCAGGGCATGCTCACTCCTCCATGGCACCTGATCCCACCTCTGATGTTTCGGGGGTCCTTGTTTGCTCTGCTCTTATTTTGTATTGTTTTATGGACTTTGAGATTGAATACTGTTCGTTATCTCCATATCCTTCACATAACTAAGGATCCAAGATAACTTCACTATATATGTGAATTCTCAATATCTGTGTTCCTACTAATTAAGTTTTACTGTATAACTAAGAAACACATTTTCTTTGCTATGGAAACTAGTTTGGGCCATAGGAAATAATTCACAAAAAGTCATCATATTGACAGAAATTAAGATTAAATGGAGAGATAACTTTTTGTGCAAAAAAAAAAAAATCAGGATCCAGTCTTGATCTAACTTTCAAAGCCCTTGGTCCCTCAAAATCAAAATTCCCTCCTTGCATAATTTATTGTTTGTTACCCTGAATACATGTACCTTAAGTATTTCCTTAATTAACACCACTACCTGCACATTTCTAACAGTCAGCTGACCTAAGGAGTGAACTTTTCAGGTGCAGTCCCACTCTGCTTAATTGTTATTTACCCTCAATACATTGAAATAACTGTATAATTAAACCTAAATGGCCTCAGACTTAAGTGGGAGGAAAAGGACTTTAAAGAGCTACTTAAACTGCAGGGTTATACACGTAACTTTTCATATTGATGCCCACACTTAATTAAGATAATTCACATTGAATGTCTTAACAGAATACCGCTAAAAAATCATATAATTATGAATACAGTAGGAAGTGGTGATGTGTGTATAATAGCGCTAATTCAAGAATATGCCAACAACTCAACACCCAGTGATTGTGTTAAATTTTATAGGTGCCAAATTATGTAGAGTAATTCCTTAATTCTCTGTTTTTCAGGAGACAGACTGTGACCAGTACGCCCTGCTGGATTGAAATTCACCTGAACGGTCCACTACAATGGCTGGACCGAGTTCTGGTCCAGATGGGGTCACCAGGGTTACCCTGCTCCAGTATGTCTTAAGGCCGTACACCCTAGGGAAAGGGTCAATCATAGGGAGGTGTCATTAAGCTGCCTATGTTGCACAACTTTCTCTTTTGATATCAAAATCTAATTTTTTTGGGCCCCTCAGAAAAGAAATTCTTCTTGAAGAGGAAAAGGAGATTGTCATCAACCCAGAGTTAAACAGATCGAAATGCTGTTAAAAGATGCAGTTAGTTGATAAAATAATGTACAAATTTATTGTCAAAAGGTTGTATCACATATTGATGACAAGTATTGTAACAGTTCAGTGATTTATCAACCCCCTCCCTGTTTTTATATAAACTGTAGTCAGTAAAAATCGCTAGGATTATATGCAATAAGTTCCTCTGCTGCCAGATTTTATTGTATTCAAAAGCATTATACCACTGTATAATTCAGTATCACTGTAAACAAACACTGAGAAATCCCCGGTAATTTCAAATCTGGACCGAAGCTTTACTGGATTGAGAGAGGAGCATTTTCTCTCTGTTTGTTGTTATATCAGGGTAAACACCGCCTCTCAAATGTATTTCACAATATGTACATGTACAATTAAGAAATGAATTCAGTAGTTCAAAGTTTGTTGACCAGCTTTTCTTTTTGTGTATGTGTAATAGATACATATTCAATCTCATACTTTTTATATCTGTTTTCAAAAGGAATATTCACTTCATTTTAATAGGAAGTGGTCACCATGAAATATATTGAGGGTCATAATGTCAATGTATTCAAAAAGTATTATGTTTTGATAGAAAAAGTGAAATTAGAAGGAAAAAAAGTAATACAATGTAGATATTTTGATGCTAATTTGGCGACAACTATGGTTGCTTCTGTATTGTGAATTGAAGAAGGGAGGGATGAATTATGTTTTATTATGTTGTCCATTGACAAGTTTCATTTTCCTATCGTGCAGTTTTTGTTAAACTGTAGACTTGTAGACTTACGTCTCTTGTTGAGTGGTGCAGATCCATATGTGGTACAGTATATTGTTGCCTTTTTGTAGTTTTTTATGCGGTGATGCTTTAAAGGCAGTCTAAAGCAGAGAAAGTACAGTGTCGTCTTTCATGTTCTCTCAACTTCATAAACTGTCGTTGTAGTTTGAGAATGTTTTCTTCAGCTTTCTTTTCATGAAAAATGTAATTTTTGATTTGTATAGTAAAAACTTAATAATTATAATGAATTGGATGGAGACATGTTACATAATTCACTTGGTTAGATGGACACTAACTAATTTTCACATATAAGAAAAAGATTTTTGAAGGAAAGTATTACTTTTTATTTGTCAGTTTTATTTAAAATAAGTTTACATTATTAAACAACATGTTATTTCTAAATATTATGTAGTCAGCATTTTTTATATTCACCGAAACCCATCACAAATGGCTTTGAATGATTAAGCAATGAAGATTGTTTACGTTTAAAAAAGTTGAATTGCAGATTATTTCGATTTCTTTATTGAATCACATCTCATAATTGCTTAAAAAAGATTATAATAACACCACAAGGGAAAAGAAGGTTTATAAGATAATCTGTATGTGCTAGGGATGGCATCAGATAAACCAAGTGACTGGTTTAATCGAACAAGTAGACTTGTTTGTAATTTTCTAAGGAATTATTACATTCAAATTATATCTATTCAAAACAAACTGGGAAAAAAAAATTGAAAAGCGTAAGTTGTTCATTACATAAAAAAAAATATTTTTACAAATTATTGGAATTACATGTACTTTACAATCAAAATAAAAAAGAATTGTACTTTTAAAGTACACTTCTATTGAAAGTGGGTTTTACCGATCACCATCGGTCATGGTATAGGACTTTTCAGTTTATTCATAAACAATGTTTTTGATGACACATGATGTTGAGGAAATTACATGTACCAGTCGAGATAAAATTTTCTGCTAAAATTGACAAATGTGGGAATTTTGCATCAAACTCACAAGAAGGGGCACTAAGGGGTACATATGCACTAACTGACGGTTATGTTTTCTGATCTATTTATAAAATCTATAAAAAAAAAAAACGGTAAGAACTTTATTTTAATGCAGAGGTATTTATCCATTGATTAGTAATATGTATGTTATAATGTACTTTTACTGTAGTTAATATTTTGATGAAACCTAATTTTCACTAGTTAGCTGTTTGGTTATTATAAGGGAGACAAATTTTACACAAACTGTTGTTTTTGTTGTATACAATCCTTACCAACTAAATATACCCAGAATAAAAAATTTCATGAGCAGCGGACTCAAGAAATTATGTGAAAACAAAGTTCTTGCAAATTCAAAGCCATTAGCATTTGTAGTATAATGAACAGCAAATTATTAGATGTTGAACTGTTGCCATTCCTAGTCTTTACAATTATTTTTGTGATGAAAACCAGCTTTAGTTAAATAGAAGCATATGTTGAGTTTTACACAAAGTAATTGATTACAAGTGAATTATTTTTAAAATCTCATTCTTTGTAATGTAATATGAATTCATACAAAAAAATGGAGATTTGTGCTTAATGAATTTTTTTTTTATAAGAGGTCATTTTTTTTATAGTTGACAAACATTTAATATCACTGGACTTTGTTTATCACCTTCCTATTTAAAATCATTTCATTTCTTTTGTCTAGATCAGAAAATTAGAGAAGCATTGTATATACATCATTAAATCACAAATGCCATGTGTCACCATTGTATACTAAGTAGTCTAGAACTGATTTAGTGTTTGATCCTCCCGGCTTTTGATGTGAGGAAGCTTACTTTGTGATATCACTTTCATACTCCCCCGTTCTCCCTTTTGTTTTGTATCGTGCATATATTTGCTACATGTATATTTAATGTTTTATGTTATTATCGTAGCTGAATTAAAATGGCTGATGTTAAAGAAAGTTTCTAATTTTTTTTCTAGTAGTTTAATTTAAGGCATTTTTGACTGAAGCAGTCACTTAATGGTATTGGACAAATAACTGTCAGTCAAAATACAGCATAATGAGCATGTAGTAGATCTGCTCCAAAAACTGTAACTTGGCCCTCATCCAGCAAATGTTGATCAGATCAAGCATCTGAAGTAAGCCAGGTATTTTGCATCCTTAGATGTAACTGATTCTATCATCCATGCAAGTTTGGTCAAAGTACGGCATATACCTGTAGTTACTTGAGATTCAGGGAATGAACCTGTTCCAAAAATGTAACTTTGCCCTCAAAATATAGGTTAGATCCAGCATTCGAAGCAAGACAAGTAGTTTGCATCCTTAGATGTATCACCACTGCAAGTTTGGTCAATATAGGACTTAAAATTTCTTGGAAAATTGGACCTGTTCAAAAAAATCAACCTACTTCAAAAACCAGACTTCTCTAAACATTCTTTTGCTAAAATTGCAGCATCTGAAACCTTGACTGATACAAAGAAACGCACTAGAAGTATCTTCCATGAATCTCTGATTAATGTATGGCATAGACGTTCTTAATACGAAAGCTGCACTGAAACTATTACTTTGGTCTCCGACACCGAGAGTCGACACCAGACCCTACCCTTCCGCTTATGGCATAATTTTTCCGCTTTTTACCACAAAATTACGCTATTACGCCACTGATATTAATTTTACGCTTTTGATATTTTGGTTTAAAATTCTTTATGAACGACTAAATCTAGAGTTGAAAGGGTTAAAGTACGACTTGCAGAAATAAAATGAGAAGTTCTAATAAAGGTAATTAATAGAGGACCGGTTCGATAACGTACATAATACACTTAATAGTTACAAGTAAACTGGTATGGTGAAGATTCGAAAGAAGACGAGAAGGCACTTTTAAATGATATTGCAATGAGTAAAGCCATTTCTATATTCAATTTAGTTTATTTTCACATTGCTTAGAACAAGATAGAGAAATGTGAGTGTTAAAAAGATAAAGTACAATGTTATGATATAAGATTTGTGTAAACATGCAAACGCTAGCCTTCAGTTAAGTGATTTGATACAAATTGACCTAATGCTTCATTAAGGATGTACGGTTGTATCAAAATACAGGATACTGGTATTTTACAACAATTTTGCCAATAAATGATTCGAAAAAAAAAATTATTACATCTTTGCTTAGTAATGTACATTTTCGGTTGTTTTGAGAGAAAATAAAGTACTATAGTAAAAACAACAAAATAGGAAAACATGATTGATAACGCTTTTACCTCAGTCTGAAATTCCACCAAAAAATGTACTGAAATTACACCCTTGCAATGAAAAGGGTAGGCATGTCTGTATCACATAAGCTCCCCCAACTTCGGTAAGGTGAGCTAAAAATGGATCTATGGTGAAGCATTACATATATCTCCAACACTAGATTGCATTCCTTGGTGTTTTTTGTGTGGTTGTAAAAGTGAACCACTTGTATAAGACGAGCTTTTTAAACTGCTGTTGGAAAATAATTAAATAGATTTTCCCTATCTTTTACTTAATTCTTTGTTCATGTCTCATATATGTAGCTTATTCGGTACATAAGAGCATGTTTTGTGTGCATTCAATTTCAAACCAGCAGGTTACTGACAATAAAATTGGCATCACATGGTTGCAAATACAACCTATTGTTGTGACTAACTTGAGTAACATGTACATTTATTATACCAATTGTTAGGTTACTGCCATAAGAAAAAAAAAATTCTGACCGATAAATCCTTTTGCAGGAGGAATTAATACAGAGAGTCACAGGGGTATGGCTTGTCGTCAGTGGATTACTTTTTTTCGGAGATACATGATACCACATCATGTGTTTCAAGGTCTCTGTTTTTGTACACCACTGGATATTAGTTTTGTTAACAGGATTTACAAAAGTGATCACTTACCTGATTGTCACGAACCTTTTTATCCAATTTCTGTGAAAAGGCTTTTTAAGATAGATTGTCACAAAGCAAAGAGCATGATTTTTTTTTTAATCTTTTTTTAGCTCTACTGGTCGAGACCAGAAGAGCTTATGCGATAGTAATGCGTCCGTCGTCCGCCCGTCTGTCTGTCTGTCTGTCTGTAAACAATTTTTCAAAATGCTACTCCTCCTACAGTTTTGGTCCGATTTCAATATAACTTGGCACACAAGTAGGCTGCACTAAGATACATAATTTTGTGCATCGGTTTTTGATTTCGATAAACGGTGTTGCCGTGGTTACTAAAAATAGAAATTTCTGTGAAATTCTTTCAAAATGCTACTCCTCCTACAGTTTTGGTCCAATTTCAATATAACTTAACACAAAAGTAGACTACACTAAGATACATAATTCTGTGCATCGGTTTTTGATTTCGATGAACGGTGTTGCCTTGGTTACTAAAAATAGAAATTTCTGTGAAATTCTTTCAAAATGCTACTCCTCCTACAGATTTGGTCCGATTTCAGTATAACTTGGCACACAAATAGACTACACTAAGATACATAATTCTGTGC